TTCATAAAAAAAAGACAAACAAAAAGAAACTGCTTATATAGTTAGCATACTCTCTCTCTCTCTAGATACACACACACACACACACACACACACACACACACACACACACACACATCCATGCACTGACACACACACACATCCATGCACTGACACCTAATGACCTGTTTACTCCTATACACCTTCATTTCCTTCCCATTGTATTTGTATCGATCCCTCATATCGATGGTCTTAAAATCCCTTTGTTTTATCTAAAAAAGAAAATAAAAAACAGAGACAAGACAATATTAAAGGAAATTAATAAAGAAGAATCCTAACAACAAGGGCACCAATGTCCCCGGCATAATTAGACCTGTATGTTTAATAATCAATTAAGTTGAACTTCAATAACCCACAAAACATTGGATAATTTGATTTATAATTACTATAAAATTAAAAAAACAAAAAAACATACCTTCATATCATATAAGTGATATGTGCATGTGAATGATAAAATTTTATTATATATGTTAGTGCTTTTTTTACAAAGTGTACGTATTTTTTGTGTTTACCTATAATCTTATATGAAATTATATATCAATATACATGTGTATAGCGCGCGCGCGCATCTCTACAGATATAGGAGTACTTAACAAAGAATTTAAAATCTTTAAAACTGCTTCATTGTTCAATAAGCTGACCAAATTTTTTCAATTTATCTTTTGAATGAACCTAATCCAATTTAAATTTTTTATACACTGGATATCAGTCTCCCAGACAGCTTGGCTGATAATTCACACCCTTATTATATGTAAGAATAAAAATGTTGGATAATCAGAAGTATAATACACGGCTCAATTATTATATGCTGGCGAAATAAAGTACAAAAGTGGATTTAGAAGCACAATTAGTTAATTATCAGAAGAAAAGTGAACGAACTAGATTTGATTTGAATGAGTAATGAAACAGAAAGAGGTCCGTTCAGGCAATTTTTAGGCCTTGACTTTTTTGACCTGGCATATGCTATAGTTGACAAGTCAAACGAAAGGCCTCAGATATTTTTATTTAATTAATAAAGGTAGAAGTAATTAATAAAAGGATTGTATAGGATTTGGCGGCTTCCCTTGTGGGTTTAGAAACAATACTTCCGCATGCACAAATTCTAGGATTTGATTTCTAGAGATATCACTTAAGAAAAAATAATCTTTTAAATGATGTTCAAATTTTTTAAAAGATTAATTTTATAGCTGTTAGCTATAAGGATATATCTTGGGTTAAAAACAAAAATTGTTATCACAAAAGTGAGTTTTGTATACCTACATCTTACTAATCAAATCGTAGGATGATATTGCTATTATTAGGAATTCAAACAATTCATGCAGGCTAAAATGGAGGAGCAGTCTAGCACCGAAGGTACACTAATTAAACGTACTATAGTGCAAGGGAACTATATATATAAATATACTTAATATCCAGAAAGGAGGGATTCAAATATTCGGTCAGCCTGATGATAGCTCACAAGAGACCTAAAGGGATGGAGGCAGGGGTGGAGACTGGGGAGGCCACAGCCCCCTTTAAACTTTTTTTTTGGTAAAATATAAAAATTATATATTTTTATCCCTTTTAAATTGACACGTTATAAAAATATTGAAACACTAAATAAATTTTTATTTCAATTCTACATAAAGTCTTTTATGTATTCGGTGGTATGGAGTCAAAGGATCATGCCTTTGAATAGTATCTAAAAGCCTAAAATTTATAAAGGAGAATTTTGTTAAAGTCTCTTATAAGAAAATTAATTATTATAAATTTTATTAATAATTAAATAAAAGCCATTGTCTGTGATAATTAATTTTTTTCTATGGAAACTGTATATATATTTTTTTAATTTATAATGAAGTTGGCAGATGCATCCGTACGAGAACTGTGTTGGCATCAATGCTTGAGGAGAAGTGTGATCGCGCTTTAAACGATCACTTCAGCGGTTCAGCCTAACTCATATAGCATGCTAGCTATTAGAATGTGTTTATCAAAATAACAAAATTTAGAAACAGAGGAAGGTTCAAATCGCCTTAAATGATCCTGTTTCTTCAACCACTGCCTCCATACAAAACAGCAGTTTCTTAAATGGTTGAGTCATACAATAATTCATAACAGGAAATTTGCCATCTGGTGACATCTGTGAAGCAAGGGTTAGTTGAATGGCGACCAAGGAGCACTCAGGATTACTTAACGTACCACTTCTCATACTCAGGTCCACGTTAATAGCAAGTCAAACCTCCGGATTACTTAACTCATCATTTGGATCGTCCCATCTATCTCGCTAGAAAGTGCAAGTCCCTATATCCATAAAAAGAAATAAAATAAAAATAACGAACTTCTTTGAAATTTTGAATTGCTTGAGGCATTGAAAAAGTGAGAGGAAAAAAGATCCAGCAGATTAAAAGGGAAATCTATATATAAGAACAAAATTCTCACACCAGAATTGAATGAAGCATTTATGTTGTCAATTGCATCATCTAAATCTCGTCCGTCTTCGCGCTGCCAGGCTCATTAGCAACAACAGGCAAAGTAATAGCTGTTGCAGGAAATTTAATCCTGAATTTGAGATATATAATTTAATAACAAAAACACGGCTCAACCATGTTACTACCAATAAGCCTCTGTCTCAAATGGTTCGGCAACAATAAGAAAGAAAAGAAGAGACAGACACAGAATCATGGAGGGCGATGTGGTCGCCTCTCTGCGAGAGCACGGAGAAGTGAGAGATTATGATGGACGCCTCTCTTTGCTGTGCCTCTGAGTTGCCCAGAAAATAAATTGGTTCTGACTGCTCATTAGGCCATTACCAGTTTTGCCTCATTAGCTGATCGATTTCACATTTTCACCGTTTTCCCGTCGTCCATGGACGTCGTCTCCTTCTTAACAGGTCGGTTCCGGGGTCGAAACACTGCCACATTGGCGTCCAATTGTTTTTCATGGATGGTGTCCCCAACAACTACTCCTAGACCAGTCCAGCCCAATCAGCCCAATCCTAATTTTACTCCATAAATTTCCCTGGTTTAGATATGGTTTCCACTCTCTAGTCTCTAATTATAAAGCAAACTTAATTAATTTTATGCTTATTAAAAATAAAAATAGCTATATCTTTGAAATTATTTAATAAGTATATAAATTTTTAATTTTATCCTTCTTTATAATTAAATTACTATAATAAATTATTGTTTAGAAATTTAAACTATAATAAATATATAAGATCAAGACTAAAAAAATTGATTACTTTAATTTTATTTATCTTAAGAGAAAAACGTTTAAAATTTGGTTTCCATTAAAAACGGGAGGGATTAAATATAAAATTTATAATAAAGTATATTGTTATTAAGTCATGGTCATCCACAATTTTTTTTTGGTTTTGCATTGCAAGTTGCAATATATAAGAATAAGATTCAACTAATCTCTATCTCATGTAAGAAAAAAAATCTTTATATCTATATGATATAAAATTTAACAAATCATGTGTGTGTACTATTCATATGATTGCACCTTCTTTCAAGCAGGAGTGTTCACAAAATGGGATAAGTTCAAGATAGATCAATCTCGTGTTTTGACTCAAAAGATGAATGGAATTGAATTTTAATTTTATATTCCGTCCCGTATTAAAAATCATCATATTTCGTTCAAAATTGAAACATCTTGATAAACTTAAATTTAGTCATAAATCCAAATTATAAATTCGAAACGTTTGGAAAAATTAGGCTGAAGATAAATTCAAAAAAGTAGTATTGTGAAAGATATAACAAATTATGTAGACAAAAAATACGTGGCCATACACACACATGGACTATTTCTCCACACAACTTCACGCTACAATGATCTTTTTATAGTGAATCATTCCCAAATGTACAAAGGACCAATTTGACTTCCTTTTCTTCTCTCCTCGAATGCCAGAATAGCACCACAAGCCTCGTTCCCATTAATATACGATGAAAGGGAGAAGGAAGAAAGATAATGGAACATGACTGTGAGTTTGTGAAAGTTACTTTTGAACTTGAGATGGTTAAGTTAAAAGCAAAAAAATAATTAAAAAAAAGAATAGAATGTTTCAAGGGTAATCTCAAATCCTGTTTTTATCTTGAACTATTTTTTATCCTATTCTATAAAAATTTGCCTTGTTTGATTTTAGATCGACAAAGATCCATCATGACATGATCAAAACAAAACCAGGTCAATTGAATTTAAAATAAGCATGGACATTTCAACCTTTAAGTCTCAGTGAGGTTGTACAATAGTTTTTCATTTTGCCATCAATTTCTTTCTATCTTCTCATGGACCAAAGTTGACAATTGCAACTTGGGGCTTGGGTCTTGATTCCCCCCCCCCCTACATGCTTGTGTCCGTTTGACAGTTTGAGCATCCATTTTCGGTCTTGTGCTAAAATTTAGTTAGACGCTTTTTTTATGGTCTTAATAAAATTTGATATTTTATAAAATACATATATACATGTGCACACACATATTAATGACATTTCACATTTTAATCGATGCATATAATTAATAAGTTTACCCAAAAAATGTATTACTCATCCCATTAAAAATGTAAGATTTTTTGAATGGTTAGTTGTTAAAAAATGTTAGTAATTTTTTATGTTTTAATATGTCTTTGTTTTCAGAAAATACACTCAATAAATAAATTATTTTATATTAATTTTTAAGTAAAATATTTTATTAAATAAAAAAGATATAAAAAGAGACATTAATTTGAGAACAGTTTATTAATTTATTAGATGTAATATTTAAATAAAATGCTTTATATTTTTTAAATTCGCAGTAGTTGTGATTTTTCAATGAAGAATGGAGAGATGCAGCTACGTGTTGTGGTTCATGCGGCTCAGAGCGTTGCCTACACATTGGAAGATACAATCAATCGTTGTTATTGAATTTTGAGGGTGATGGGCAAGGATTCAGCGACGTCGTATTTGAGTTTGCCCGTCTGGGCAACAGTATCTACGAAAGAAAGACGACATCGCCAACAACGGGTCCCGCCATGGTCACTGGATGATTGAAACCCCAAAAAAAATGTGTCGTTCAAGGAGGAAAACGCGGGTGTGAGTGTGTGAGATGCATTCCTTTCAGAAAGTCCAAAACTATTCGTCGCTTGCTGGTCCGATCTCGATGACATAACGAATCTTCATCGCTGACAATACCTATGCATTCTATCCCTTACAAAGAGATCGAAGGCGAACTTCGGGTCAGAGCATTCTTCTAACGCTCGGTAGAGCTCCTTTAAATCTGGGTCTGTACTCAAGTTGAGTAAAGAGCTGAGCTTTTGGTGAAGAATCCATTGATTTGAAGTGGAACTTGGAGTGAATCGATGTCAATTCTTCTCGCTATAGGGTGTTGATTTGGTTGTGTAAGAAATCAGAAATTTGGGGTTCAATTTCGACGGCGGAAGGATATTGTGGGAAAACGAAGGCAACGGTCTAGCATATATATTTTGAAATTGAAGGGAATTTGCTGTACTAGAAGTATAAAGTTCTGCTTTTTCGTGTAAAGGTAACTCTTTTATTATCATCATCATCTTGGTTATTTGTTATATTCTTTCCCCATTTAGAAGTTACGGTTTGCTAAAATATTAACTCACCATCGGTTTTCTTCCCATTTTTTTTTCCCGTAAATACACATTCTACCTTGGACAGATCTCTACGTGATAAAGAAATAAACGATCTGTATCTCCATCCTGAACGCCCAAAGAGTTTTTCCATTCTTTGGGTGGAGAATTGTATGTAAATTTTGCTCGGTGTCATCTTTCCTAGCATCTTAGTCTCAATCAAGACCGCCAATTTTAGATTAGTGATGGTGTGGTGAAAAACAACCCATTCTCTATAATTTTGTTTACTCTTTTTTATTCTTTAGTGAAAGTCCCTATGTGAGAGATCCTTCGTCAGGACTTTGAGTATGCATATATTGACATATCCTTTTCCCCCTTTCTCAGCACTCTTGATCGAAATCTCCTCAAGTACTATATTATTAATGCCGTCCTGTTAATTTTCAGGGAATGGCGACTCCTGTTGAGCCTCCAAATGGGATCAGGAGTGAAGGAAAGCATTATTACACCATGTGGCAAGCCCTGTTTGAGATTGATACAAAATATGTGCCCATCAAGCCTGTTGGTCGAGGAGCGTATGGAATTGTATGCTCTTCAGTCAACCGAGAAACCAATGAAAAAGTTGCCATTAAAAAGATACAAAATGCTTTTGAAAACCGGGTTGATGCACTAAGGACTTTGCGTGAATTGAAACTTCTTCGGCATCTCCAACATGAAAATGTGATTGCTTTGAAAGATATCATGATGCCGAATCATAGAAGAAGTTTCAAGGATGTCTACCTGGTTTATGAACTTATGGACACAGATTTGCATCAGATTATTAGGTCTTCACAAGCACTGTCTAATGATCACTGCCAATATTTCCTCTTTCAGGTATGAAACTAGATTTTGGACCAAAGGTATGAAACTAGATTTTGGACCAACTGAACTAAGTATTCCTATAGAAGCTAACAAGTGGTCATATGTTTTTTGAGTACTCTAGTTTAGCATCCTGTGGACTTATTCATGACCCAGCCCAACATGTTAAGATCTTCATTTTTTACAAATTCGTGCAGCCCTCTTTTTACATGAATTTATCTGCAGCATTTTTGCCTGTTCACTCCAATGCTATTTTATACCTCAAGATTTCTTCAAGTTATGATTTATTCTCTCCTGAAGAATAACTAATCTTCACGTGGCCCATCCATATGGCTTTATGGAAGATATGATATCTTTGTTTCTTAGTTGGTCATTACACTTACTAATACAGAAGTGCCTGGGTGCAGTTGCTTCGGGGCTTGAAGTATCTTCATTCAGCCAACATCCTTCATCGTGACTTGAAGCCTGGGAATCTTCTAATCAATGCAAACTGTGACCTAAAAATATGTGATTTTGGGTTAGCACGCACCAACAGCAGCAAGAACCAGTTCATGACTGAGTATGTTGTCACTCGGTGGTATCGAGCACCAGAACTTCTGCTTTGCTGTGACAATTATGGGACATCTATTGATGTCTGGTCTGTGGGATGCATCTTTGCAGAGCTTCTTGGACGAAAACCTATTTTCCCTGGTTCAGAGTGCCTGAATCAGCTAAAACTAATTATCAATATTCTTGGCAGCCAAAGGGAGGAGGATCTTGAATTCATTGATAATCCTAAGGCAAAGAGGTACATCAAATCACTTCCATCTTCTCCAGGAACACCCTTTTCCCGGCTTTACCCGAACGCCCATCCATTGGCAATTGATCTACTGCAGAAAATGCTTGTTTTCGACCCATCAAAGAGGATTAGTGTTACTGAAGCACTCCAACATCCTTATATGTCCCCTCTATATGATCCTAACAGCGACCCTCCAGCCATCGTTCCTATTGATCTTGACATGGAGGAAGATTTGGGAGAAGAGATGATAAGGGAGATGATGTGGAAGGAAATGCTTCATTACCATCCTGAAGCTGCGATGGCAGATACGCTCGTGTGCTCATGATCTTATTTTCTTTTGTTTTCCCATTTTGTTACCTTTTTGTGATGGCAAGAGGAGTCTAATAACTAAGTTTGCTCCAAATAAGTAGGAAGGCTTTGATATGATGAGCTTAATATATGTTCTGTTTCCTCCTTATGGAGGACCTACAGAACAACAGCAAAAGAGGGTCATGCTGGGAGGTGAAGCATTACTGCGTTTTGCTAATAGTAGATGTTAACTATTAGTTTGCATGAGAGTAAAGCCCCATTTTTGGTTCCTCACAGATCGGGTGTTTCTCAATTTAGTCCCTCACAGAATTATTTTCTCAGCTTGTGATTATCCAAATATATAACTATCATCATTTATGTCCTGTTATTAATCTGATGTTTATGCATCTGCGCGGGACATTATTGATAATAGTTTCATCTACAAGGGATTAAATTAAATTAGGAAATATTTCCTGTAAAGGAAAAAAATGAAAAGACAATGATGAGGGATCAAATTTTAAAACTAATCTGTGAGATTAAATTGAAAATTACTCAATTTATGAGATACCAACGTGGGGCTTTTAGTTGTTTACATGTTCAGAGCTGTTTTGTATCTGAGTCTGAGCTGGTAACCTGGTTCGAGCTGTAAATGCTTTTGAAACCATGTAAATTTGGTCTAACGTTTATCAATATGATGTATGATTAGAGAAAGAAAACACGTTTTTGTTTGCTTGGCTGGGCATGGAACTGGGCATGGCACTGTACCTGATTACGAGTAAGGGTTGGGGAGAGATGGATGGGAGTTCCGTGTAAGATGAATAACAAGAGAATGCTGCAGGGCTGTTGAGACCTAGTGCAAAAGTACAAACCTGCTAATTGGGTTAGGAAATTAGTTAGATCTTAGAGTTGCAATTAAATAACTAATTCATATTAGTATTACTCGTCCTCCAATACGCGACATTAAATTAAAATATGATTATAAAGTCGTTAATTAGTTTAAAGTTGTGCCTCGAACAGTTTTGACTTGTTTGACTGGATGATATTTGCATGGGCAATGATTTGAGCCCGTTGATTATCCTCTGTGAATTGGCGACTCCAAATTCGTTTTATTTGTCGTACCATGAAGATGAGAGACGTTATCTTTAGTGGATTGGGAGAGGTGTGAAAGCACGCGCGCACATGGATTCATGTATAAATTTGAAGCCAAGTAATAATATGCGTGGATGTGTTTGTAGGAAAAGGGGTGAAAAGAAAGGGATCTGGGTTTGCACTGTGGCCAAACTGTATGACGCAAATGGGCCTTGCCCATAGCACCACGAAGTGGACTTAATGGGTGAGGAAAGCAGGCCCACATACTTTCATTATAACCCATCCTTTTGAAACGTTGTGCTGCTTTTTTTCCCCCCTGGAAATAATGGTGGTCATTAATTGAGACGTTGGAAATCTTATTTTGCTTGTGGATTCTTGATCGGGAAAATACATTTAATTAATTTAATTATTTTATTATGATCTTGATACGTACATATGAAAACTTATTAATATTTTTATTTTTTAATTATAGAAAAATACGAAAATAGCGAAGGTATCCATATCAAAACAACGTAATTGTGAAATGGTTCAAACGGGCTAATGTCTTTTATTATCAAGTGACATTTAAAGGTTAAATTAAGGTACACGTGAAATTGAAAATTCAACGAGGTTGTTTTGAAATTAGGGGGAAAATGAACATGCGTAAGGGTGAAAATAGGCTTTATTAAGTTAAGCTTTGACCAAATAAGTTTGAGTTTGTGTGATAAATTAGAAACTTGAGTCTAACATAAAACTTGTATAAAGCTTTTTTTACAACTTAGGCCTTAGTCTACATAAAGTCTAGCTTGGCCTGAAAGCATTTAAATATGCTCACATTTTAATTTTAAACATCTCAAATATATTTAAAGACTATCATAATATATAATATATAACTTGATCTATCAATTACAATATATAATAATTGAAAAGACTCACTAACTAAAATACAATATAACAATAAAATAATAAAATTAATATTAATATATAAGTCTAATATGATTGAAAATATAATTAGAAATTGATGTATTTTGTGATATATTACATAATATATATATATATATATATAGATCAGCCTATTAGGCTCATAGGCTAGACTCTAAAAAAAAGCCTAATCTATTTAGCTAAGTAAATTTAATTAAAAGCCTGATTCTGATTTGAGCTTATTTAGTAAGGTGGTTAGATTAGATCAGATCAGAAGTAAGCGAAGCTATAAATCCCCATTAAAACCGGACTTATTTCCACCCGTACACGGAAAGAGATGCATGCAGGCATTCAGGGTTGTTGGTAAAGGGGTTGTTTAGGGTGAACGGACAGATGAAAAAGTTGAGAACACAGTGCACATGGATATGGTCATATGGATATAGATGGCGAGGGGGATTTGGCAAATCAAAATTTGTTGGGTTTCAACTTTGAAGATTCAACCACCCACTCCCAGCAGTGGCCAAACACGAGTGCCGGCCACCTACTTTTGTTGAGTGCCTCGGCGTTTCTCTTTTGACATCAGCCAATGTTCTCGGAGGCTCCGTCGTTCTCTGCTTCTGTAAACTTTTAGACTCACAAAGAAAAGTTCACTCCATTTTATATTTGTATTACGAACCTGCATTTAATTTTAAGATGACAACTACGAGTAATATAATAGACATTTTATTCAAGTTAGCTATTTCTCTGGGCGCCAACTTTGACTCTGTAGTCTATATTATATATCTTCGTCTGTCTCGTCTGCTCGTCATGCATGCATGTCCATGAATCTGCACTGTGCCGCAGACATGCTACATATACAGCTGCACAAAGGATTGGACTTAGTTTAAGCTTAGGATATTTGTAAAAAAAACTGATACTTTTGCTAAGTTTGCTCAGAATATAATTTCAGAGGAACATTTCTTTAACCATCCTTCCTCTTTTATTCAAGAAGAACAGGAAGGGGAGAGAAATGGCCATATAGAGGTGTTTTGAGTTTGTAATATATGGTTATAAATGAATCATGATTTTAATCCAAAAAAAAGGGATTGGACTTAAATCTATTTTGAAATCTGATCTCTTTCATAAACAAAATTAGATTAAACAACCTATAGTTAGGTCTGATCTAATAATAACCCAAAAATTAATAAGATCAGACTTAATCCAAAGGATTGAGAGACTAGTCATGTTAATCCAGTACTCATTTAGTCTTTTTTTTCCTTTTTTCTCTATGAAAGGCAATAATTCATTTCATAAATTCAATTAAGATAATAAAAATACTTATAATCATAATAAATTCATAATAATTCCTAACAACAAGAAAAAAAGTTTGAGTTACAGCCCAAGTGGTTCAAATTATTAAATTATTAATTTGATCGTGTGACCATGCGAGATCAGACTTATTAAATAATTAATAGTCTTAATTTATTATTATAAATAATTAGTAAATTAATTATAATCATATTAAATAAATTTAATAGAATCAGACTGGATCAAGTGATCAGATGTCTAGTCTTCTGTCTAGCCAATTCAAAAAAACAGTATGATGTTTTTAGTCTTTTCAATCTTAAAAGATTAATTTTTAACAAGACCAAATTTTGTTAAGTCAAATTATGTTGAATGAGATTGGAAGATTTTTTTACAATGTAGACACATGTGATACAACTACACCGCAGTCTAAAAACAACGATGGAAGTTGCTCTTAGTCAAGAAGCAGGCTTTTTTACCAAATACTACACACAGTAAAAGAAATGACCAAAATGCTGCAACGTGGGAAGTATTTTCCAAAATACTACACTAAAAATCATTTATAAGATGAACATGTTTGAGGTTTTGAAAAAATCGTTCTCGCCTAGAATAATTTTAGAGTCAATTTTTTTTAATTTTATTAAAAGTGAAATTGTTCACTGCCTGAATGATTTTAGTTTATTAATATTGATTTAATATTTTATTCCCAATCCTTACATCTTTTTACTTTTGAATATAATAGACCATCAAATAAATCACATGTCACTCCTTGATAATCGATTTTTTAGTTGAATTACCTTAATTTGATTTAAATATACTGACTATGCAGATAAATAAAACACTTAAATTTCAAGAATAGAGAAACATAAAACAATAACAGCAGCCACAACGTATGAGAAAAAGAACAAGATGTGGCACTGAAAGTCACTATTTGTGAGGTAAATTAATTTTTACTTTTCACTCATATAACTTATCCATTCATTATTATTTTTCATAAAAACTAATAATTATTTATTTATTATCAATAATTTTTAATTTAATACACCTCATAATAATTCCTTAATCATATTAGTAACAATTATTATTTATCATTTTCATTCAAATGATTATTAAATTATTACTGTAATTATATGGTGCAGCTAAAGTTCATAAATTGTTTTTGTCAAGAATGAGTTTTGGAGGAATTGAATTGATATATTGAAGAAATCATTCTTGGTGTGATGAATTTTAAGTGCAACATTTTGTGTAACATTTTGGTGTTTTCTTTTACATTGTATAACATGTTAGTAAAAAAAAACCAGCTTCACACTCTTTGGCTTTAACTTTACTACGGCATCTTCATGTTTTTAACCCCTTATATAGTCAGTGCACATGAATCTTCTTAATCCGCGTGAAAAGCAAAACTTGGGTCTAGGTGGTTTTGAAGACTTGATAAAACGATCGTGGGTAAAGAAGGAAAGACTGAAAATAAAACATTAAATCAGCAATAATACACTTCATTTTTAATAAAATAAAAAAATAATTTTTGATTACAAAATTATTCTAAGCGAGAATAATTTTTTCATAACCTCAAACTCGTTCTTCTTTCGAATGATCTCTGGTGTAGTATTTTAAGAAACATTTGGTAATTTGTTTTACTGTGTGTAGTATTTTTGTAAAAAAGTCCAAGAAGCAACAGAAGTGAACGTGACCGTCTCTCTTTTGTCTTCAGGTAGAGTGGAGGCTTTTCCTTCTCTTTTTGAGTACAACTCTCTCTCTCTCTCTCTCTCTCTCTCTATTTTTTAATATTTTTTTGCCAACATCCTCTCTCTAATACTGCTTTATAATAAAGCCACATATTCCAAGGGTCGTGACAGTCAAATTTGACGGATCCTATTCTTTTAATTTAAGGGGAATAATACAGAGATCTTCATTAATTTAACTTAAGTATCAAATTTTAATAAATTTCAAAAATTTATAAATTTAGTTTTTTAATTTTACAATTTTATTATGACAAATTTTTAACTTATATTTTAAATTTTAATAAAAAAATAAATTTATTTATTTTTTAACTATATTAAAATTTAAAAAATAAATTATAAAGCTATCACAATAAAATTATAAAATTAAATAACGGATATGCACATCTTTAGAGTTTGAAACTTGAAAACTAATTTAAACCTATCTCTCATTTTCCCTTTAATTTAGTTTCTTCGTGAACCATTTTATTTGATTGACGTGTTCCATGCAACGAGGAACGTCATTTAAATTTTAAATATCTTATAATCTCTAGCTAGTATCCTCTTCAAACTACGAAGGCGATTCAAAGGCAAAGAGAAAAAGAAGAGAAAGGTAAAATTGAAAAGATAAAGTGATGAAATCATGAAATCTGATTTGTAGTTCACAAACTGCGCCAGTGTAGACAAGAAGGGAAGCCCACAGAGATACGGCGAAGATCTCGTGGCGATTGGTGGGGTTAATTCGGCTTCTTCGTC